TCCCGTACAAAAGAACATTTGTTTTCCACGTTGAAAACTAAAGCTTAGGCACTACCAGCTTTTATGAATTATATTCAAGAAAAATGCTGCAAAAAATTCTGTTGAAAACACACACGGTACTTACAAAGTGTGCACAGAAATATATGGTCTTCTAAAATCGGAAACGTAAATTGCAAACTAATGTATAGTCAAAGTCTAACGGTAACCAAACAATTACCTGAGCTTGAAGCTTCACTTGAGGTTTCATTTGGCCATCTAAAGTTCGAGCTGTCTTCTATCATAGCTGCATCAGGCACTTGAAAAAACGGATGAAACAATTAAACATAGGGGATATAAGGCTGCGCGAATTAAGATATGCATTCTATTTCGAGTAGTGCAAATAATACTTTACGAATAAGCGTATAATGAATGATTAAAATACTGCTTTCACCCCGAAAATATAAAACCATGTATCAGTTAATAAAACAACACTGCAGTCACAGAAAACAAATCAGCACTCACTCTGGTCAGTCCTGTCTGCATCGACATCTTCACTAGTAAAGACATCACAAAATATATCTCACTGATATTTCGTGATGTCCTTAAGAGTTCGTATATAGAGGATATTACACGGCGGCGCGAAGATATGACTTTTATCTTCGAGTGGTGAAAACAATATTTTACGAACGAGCGCAGCGAGTGAGTAAAATATTGTTTTTAAAGAATGAGTCTCAGAGTAATGCTTTGCGCGCTTGTTTGCAGCTTGTCGGCCATTTTAGGGTGCCCAGAAAATGGCGACTTTCGTATATTAGGAGTTGTGCGACTATTAAATCCTCGAATATCCGAACAACTTTCATCATAAATTATTCATTATCCTGAATTTATGGGCTGTGAATATATGGCTTGACCTGCTGTTAAGCATTTCATAGTATTTATTTGTAATAAACGACAAATTGAAGTCCATAGTATGACGGTGTCTTCGACTGGTGCATCGCCGCCAAAGCGTGGAAGGCCAAGAAATGAGATAGGATTTGTGCGTATAAAATTAAAGGACGTACATGAGATGTGGATTACCAGAAAAGATTCTATTTGATCTCAACGAAGACACATCGTGATTTTGCACGGCACTTGCTTCTAAATTTTGGCGAAGACGAGCCTTTGCAATCAATGGAATCTCCAGGCGCGATGGTAAATACTACATATTTGTTATCAATGCAATAAATTTCTTTATATTTTAAAATGATTCGTTATCTACGTCGCATAAGATCATATATTTTGTATATTACACTTTAGATCGACCCTTGCCAAATGTTCTGCCTACAACACCTGTTACTATAAATGGCAAACCGGACCGAAATTTGTGTTTGGCACCCCTTTGAAAATAATAGAACGTAAGAAATACAGTAGATATTATCCTTTATATATGTTTAAAGGTGATCTACAGTCCGTATGTAAACAAAGCCTTTGTTTACATTGTGTCCAAAATATTGAGCTTTATTCGACAACTATTTATATCTCCAAGCTTCTAGAGTATAATAAATTATCAAGAAACAACAATCAGGCTTTTCAAGAACTCAAAACATAGTTAAACTGTTTGTATCATAAAAAGTGGGCTCATTTGTGCACATGCGCAGATCGTACTGTAGATCACCTTTAAATGCTTTAATAGTAGTGCCAATCTCGTTCCCAGGGCTTCCGTGAGAGGATGAGGCGAGACACGAGGAAGCCCTGGTCCGGGCCGGTCGATTTTGCATTCTGATTGGCTAACACCATAATGTCTAAAAATAACTGAACTTGACAAGTTTGTTGTATAATGTATATATTAAATCATGGCGCAAAAAGTAACACCAACGAAAACTTTTTATCGCGATTTGGGGAATCTTTGCCGCTTATGCGGTAACGAGCCTCTGTATACTATAAACATTTTTAGTAAATCTGGTCAAAAGAAGCAATTGAAGGATAAAATTATAAAATCAACGGGATTGTGTGTTCAGAATGACGGTTCTTCTGATGTTGTGTGCCGTAAATGCGAAAGAACTTTGGATAAAATTCTTCAGTTCCAGGAAAAGGTTATTCAGACCCAAAAAGTATTTGAACAAAAATCATTTTTCAAGAGAGTGATCGAAATGTCACCTTCTCGAGGCAGTTTGAGAAAGAAACACGTATCTATGCCAGCTACGCCTACCAAAATTTCTTCAAAGAGATTGACTTTTGACAAAACCGATGTCGAAGACACTTTGCAAACACAACCGCAATCGATAGATCTAGAGATGCAGCCTTTGTGTACAGCAACGGAGGACGTTTTAACAAATCAACTTCCTCGCTTCAAAAAGTTTGTGTCAGTCCATCGTCATAATATTGCCCCGTCCACCGTGTCAATTCAAATTTCCACACAAGTGGAACAGCCTGCGTCCGTTAAAAGCAAGTCAACTGGTGTCTATTTGGCAAAACAATTAAATCCCTCAGAGATCGCGGCTCTGGAAAGAAGTGTTGCAACGAAAGAGCCCACTGCCGTTGCCCATATTGTTATGGTCAAGACACCTGTCGTACTTTACGCCGTCAAACGCGAG